AAAATATTCTTGCATTGGCTGAAAGTTCTTTAGAACGTTTTAAACTTGCAGAATACAAATCTGTTCTCCTTACTAAAAAGATTAAGAGTGAGTACTTAAGACTAAAATCATACTTTGACCTTGGTGCCATTGCCAGCTTCCTTAGCTGTTAGTACTGTTACCAGTGTAGCTTGATTCTCATTAATTTATTGGGTAGCATCTTACAAGTCTTAATCATCTGCCAAATAATTTCCCAAGCTTGCCTTTCTCCCTTACAATTGGTTTTCCTTTCAACCTTTCTCCTTTTGTGTCGTTAGCTTTTCATTTGAGCTCGCTCCTTCCCCACCACCCTGCTTAATTGCTGATAGATAAATAAATGAGAACTGCTTGCCTAGTGCATCTGGAAGACAGAATGAATGGATTTGGGCGCACGTTCAGTAGCCCACGGGGATTTCAGGCTACTGAGAAGTGAGGGAAAGTGAAAGGAAAGCATTTATGTGGTGGGAGAAATGTCAGCACTAATCAACACATTAAATTTCCCAGGCCTAGTTGACAGGTTGGCTTTTGCTGCAGCAGAAGCTGGGAATCAAATGAGAGATATAGTTTCTTGGGTGTCCAGGGGGAAAAACTCAGCTTAGGCAATAGTAGCTACAGATTACAATTTCCAAATTCAGAAGTTTGACCAATACTGGAGGAGAGAACTTTACTGGAGCTTATATTCTGAACCTTTGCAGAGGCTATGGATGACTGTCAAAACCCAAAATCCATTTGCAAGGTCCCTCCGGGAATCTCCTCTGACCATTGACCAGGAATGTGAATAGCCTTGTTATCAAACAGAGTATATTGGAAAATGGATTAATGCAGACACAGTTAGGTTAAAATTTAACACCTTATCATTTATTCTCCCTTCTGCCCTATTTTAAATTTGTTCTAGTTTTTTATTATTTTCTGCTTTCTTTTTGATTGAGGTTTTCCTGTGTTTATCTTGTTATTATTATTACCATTTGCTTTGTTTTTCATGATATGAAATCCAGGATAGGTAAATCTATAGAGACAGGAGCTTCTTAGTCAGTGTAGTTTCTTAAATAGTCTCATTAATAGTTGTAATAATTCTGGTCAGGAGGTTGGGGGCAAACGGAAAGCTGCTGAATATGGAGTATGAGAATAAAGAAAATGTACAATTGATAGTGACGGTGATTGCACAACTCTTTTAAATGTGTTTAAACCAGTGATTTGTATGATATGTGAATTATAAACCAGTAAAACTTAATTTTTTTAAAAAGATCACAAGTGGAAGAGGCAATTTACCATGGGTGGTTAAGAACTCAGGCTTTTGATGTAAAGAGAAAGGACAAGAGGAGGAAGTTGAAGTTGGATTGAGGGCATTGG